AGTTTGGTTGTTAGCTGTTTCTGCTGGGCATGACCTTGTGATATTAACATTGTTTTGTTTGTGTTCCCCCCCCCCCCACACCTTAGAATTTGCTATTCCAACATATTGGAACAATCTAATATTTGTTTGTGTACTCTTGCCTATTTGTTAATAAAACATTCAGATGCAGAGCTAAACGAAAAGAATGCAGACAGCTCCCCACGCTAATTCACAAGTTAACAAAACATGTCCTACTTTTGCTCTTCTTTTTCGTAATCCTTTGGGTATCAAATAGTAGGGCAGATGGGAACAAATGACACGAGGTGATGGGCGACTAGGTAAATCTACATGGAATATATTATACTCCAGCCATGGTGCTCGGTCAATTAGGGTAATATTTTCAGTTCCATCTCGGTGGCCTTCATAAACAATCAAGCTGACAATATTCTGAGTCCATACAGTTCCTGCAAATAAGGAATAATTAAATTAATTCACCCATCATTATTTGGAGAAAGTTGAACTTATGCAAAGCCAACCTTCCTATCAGGTAGAAGAGCAAATGTTTCAGAGATGCATAAAGACAATCAACTCTACTAAAATTGATAGATTAAGCAGATGGATGGATGAGAAAAGAATAGCTATTTATTTACACATTTATTTTTATCCTGCCTTTTTTATTTTTAAAACTAACTCAAGGTGGCAAACATACCTAGTACTTCTTCCTCCTCCTATTTTCCTCACAACAGCTCTGTGAAGTAGATTGGGCTGAGGGAGAGTGACTAGCCAAGGTTACCAATGTAGCCAATGTAGAGTAAAATATAAACAATGAAAGTAGAGGTTTAGCATCTTATTTTCCCTACTTTTCCAGCTTCTTATAAAATGCTAAATGTTAAAATCTGATTATAGAGCAACAGCGTCACAGCAACCAAAACACTAAGGAACTGAATAACAACATTGATCACAAGTTTAACTCTTTCTTGGAAGACATCTTTGACCTTACCAGATTTAGAATATGTGATTACGAATATATCATCATCTCGGATTTCAAAATTGTCCAGTGAATCTAAATTTTCAGGTGAGGACAAGCCAGTTATGAAATAGAGTCCTTTGTATTTATACAGGAACTCATTCTCTGGCTCCATTGCTTCAACTGTTGATGTAATAATAGAGCAATTATCAATACTTCCTACATTTATGTTCAATATTGTATTAATTCAGTTTTTTAAAAATCATGCTAACATAAAGGAAAATTATATGTTTGTGTGTTATTAGATTAGTTTCCTTAATTAATTCATTAGTTCCATGGACTCAATTTTCATTGATAAATGTTTCCATTGCAAAGAGTAAATTTGCTGTTCTGATTGGAATCTAAAAATTCTATGTAGAAGAGAAAGTTTTAATTACAATGTTAAAAACATACAAATTGCACTTCTTCTCTTACCTTCCCTTATCTACATAGACTCTGACAGCCACTCATGTCATGTCCTTAAGCCACCTTATCTGCAGTGGTTTGTCAATGTTCTTATACTCCAGTAAAGTGCTCAAATTTTAAGAAGGCTGATCTTTAGTCAATCATTGTGTCAGCAGAACTTCTGTATTCCAAAAATGAGCAAGAGAGGACATCGAACACGATTGAGTAATAAACTAATTTGGAAAAGTGTTGCTGTAAAAATCAGTATATTTTAAAAATACAAAAGCACTTCTGATTTACATGCCAATTATTTGTAATGTATCATTATATGAAGAATTATGGATTTACCAATAGGAGATGTAGCCACAACGATGTTATTGCATTGTTATTTTCATACCTGAATCCCAATTTCCATATATAAATGTACATAAGAGTTGTTATATTATTGTCCCCCTCCAAAGGGAAGAGTACCTCATTTTGGGGAAAACCACTGCATGAAATATGTTTCAGGCTATGTAAGGAATTATTTTATTGTGCAATGTTGCAATCTTTAATTGAACTACATGATCTTGATTTGTGATGACAGCTTGTTTTCTGCAAATGCAGCCACATTCAATACAGTTAATTGTTAATAGTTGTAATGATGTTGTCTATCCTAATTTTGTGTAGCTTCTCATTTATTCAAATAGATGCTGGCAAACTTTTAGCTGGCACTTTAAACTTTATCAGTTCAGATACAATGGTTGCAGAAACAATCTGACCAACATAATCAATAAGGGATCAGAAGGCCACGATAAATAATTTCCATATTATTGTCAGCTTCATGGATATTTTCATGGAGAAACTTGATGGGATATACACCAGAGGTGGTATTTTGCCCTTTCGCCCAGGTTCAGATGAATTGGTAACGGCAGCAGGAGGCTCCACCCACCCACCCAGATGTCATTAGTGACAGGCAAGTGCACATGCACTCCCAGTTCCAAAGCGGTAGTGAAGGTTTTCATGCCTGGTCTACATCATTGTGACGGTGGAGGTGGTTTGGGTGGTTTGATATATGTGTTTTCAGTATCAGAGGTTTGATCAAAAGCTCTCATAAATTCCAGGGGTTGTCTTGTTATGCTTTTCCAAGCATTAAAATTCAGGATGGTTCAGTGGTTAGAATGTGGTATTGCAAGCTAATTCTGCCAACTGCCCACAGTTCAATTGCCACTGCGGTAGGTGGAAGAAATATGGGTTTTACACAGTTTTAATGTTGGAAGACACTTGGAGGCACCCTATATGAGCTGGGTGGCTATATGAACTTGTTTAAATAATAAATAATATAATCTGATGAGACATAGGTTATATGCCTTTTTTCCCAATCTCAACCCCACCCCATCCATGGGGTGCCAATATTTGTAGTATCCTGAGTATGTCAGCCTTCCCAAAAAAACCAAAACCCTTTACAAACTTGATTTTCCCTTTAGGAGTTGGGCTAAGATGATATATCAAGCAATATATATCTTTAGGTAAGTGGAAAATATAACAAATGGGTCTAACTGTTACAAATATGTTGATTTTGGATTTGTTCTTGTCATATTTTTCTTGCCACTTGTTCACCCCGCCCACCCACCATTCGCTCACCCTGCCCCACCCACCCGCTGGCTGCCCCATCAATGCCTGCTTCCCCTTCCCCCCCCCCCGACTCTCACTCCGCCCTGCCGGG